TTTTAGAATCTACAGTTGCATAAATGTGATATAGAAACCTAGAAAAAACTAGGTTAAAAGTTGTCATTTCTTAAAACAACTTAATCATTTGAGCAATAGTCTAAAGGAAGACGTTGTTTGTTTAACAGTTTCCTTATTTTAAACAGTAACAAATATTTATTTTCTCATCGAACTATTGAGTTGTTTTCTTCTACAAGTACCTGATGCTTTTTTTATTCATATTACTAAAAACTAGAAATACATTATTAAAGTAGTGCACAAAATTCTTTTTATTAATATCATAACACTGTTCAAATCGAAAAACTCGAGGGTTTTATTTCTTTTTTTCTCTCTAAAAATTTTCCACTTTTAACACATCTAGTCGTTCGTTTTTGAATCATTTGATAAAATTGTAAATTAGTTGCCATTAAAATAAAAATGACATTTTTACCACTTAAATAGATTAATACCTGACGATCACGCACGGTTGAACTGAACATCTCTATCTAATAACGAGAAAAGCAATAAGACATTAAATTGATAAAACCAAAATAATGTTCTAATTAGTTATTGGACGAATGATTATGAATGAATTCATCACATTTTTGCTATCAGACCATTAGCTGTTAGATCATTCATTGCGAGGTGTGTCACTGTTTCAACGAAGATTTTTCAAAACAATGTTAACAGAATAAATAGCAAAAACTGAGAATAATGATTTTCTTGTATGCCGCTGACTTACAGAAGTGTAACTGACACACTTTCCATTCATGTACTTTACTCAGGCTCAAGTCTAAATTCATAGAATGCTGAGCATCTAATATTATTCTTAATATTTGTTTTCAGATTACAATGAGCGATTTTTTGGCCTTAATAATCATCACTTTTCCAGTGTGGGCGTTAATAACTGTACGTGCACACTGGACATCTGTGCGCGTCCATACTTTTCTCAAACCTATTTTCCATGTCCATACTCGTCAGATGAGAAAAAATACCCATGTGCACATCTATGCTCAGTTAATTCAAAAGAGGATTCTCGTGCCCGTTCTTATCTTAAAATTTTTTGTTCAATTCATGACTATAGACATTTTTCTCTAGTCATAAACCATGCTCATCATGTCCCACAAGTCATTTACGTTACTCGTGCAGTTTTTTTCATAGTATAGCTACACTGTAAAAAAATGTCTTAGAATAAGACCCCATAAATTGGTTGACGATTAGAACAAAGGTCTCAAAATAAGACGGATGACGATGATCACAACAACCTTGTTTTGAGACCTATGTATGACTCTAATCGTCAACCAACTTACGGGATCTTATTTTAAGACCGGTAAATTTAGCTGCCTTATTTTTCATAGTAGTTCGAGTGTTAAGATAAGGTCATTAGGTTGAGTCAGTACTTTCATTCTAGCTGTTATTAAGATTTTATAAGAGAAAAATGATAACATTCTGAGTGTATTTCATTAAATCCTTTGTTCTCTATATACAAGTAGTCAATCCGAAACAAAAAAGTTGATTTCTGATTTTTGACAAAAGGATGTTTTCTTATACTTCAGATGGAAAAAATAAGACCTTTTTCTTCGGTCGTAGAAATAAAAGAGAAGAAAAAAAAGTAGGCCGATACAGGAGTAAGACGGACAGAAGAGTATAATGAACTTCTAATAACGCGCTCTAGTAATGTGGAGAAATAAGAACAAAGAATTACTCCATGCCCATTACCATTAAGTGTTTTAACCGTGCTCTTGGGTGAACATGGACCAGGACACAGACATAGGTAACGGGCATAATCGTAGATGTCTAAAACACGCACACACACGAATAATTTTCTTCCACTTGGTTAATATTGAGATCATAAGTACATTTAATAAGAAATGTCCCTGAAATTGTCAACAACTTAAATGCTATCAGAAGAACGTAGTGGAATTTTGTATTTTTTCCTTTTCCATTTATTATTATAGTCTCACTTATTTTTATACATATAATTTTTATAAATATACATCTCTAGTGTCTTTCTGCAAAAATCGTTGCTTTATGCCCTCTAACTATTAAGAAAGAGCAAGGGACATTCAAATCTTCCTATATTTAAATTTGAACACAGTGATTAGTGTAAACGGATAAACATATCATCAACAACATTCATTATAGTAAAACTAAAAAATGAACAATGGATTTTATTCAGCAGCAACATGTTCTGACCTTTTAACCTTCTGCAATGTTACAGCCCATTAACGAGTGGGCCAGAATAAATGAGCCTGTCAGTATTTTGTCAATAACTTTTTTCGCTTTCATCTGTTTGGACTAAATTTTTTTAAAAAAGATTCATCTTTTAATTGTCTACAAAACCGTAGACAGATTTGTATGATAGGAATAAAAGTAAATAAGTTATTATCGAACACTGATAACATTTCAACATCAGCAACTTTCAAGCACAAATATCAAAATTGATTTTCGATCTCTTTCTGCCAGTAAAACACATTTTGAAAAGCTTCAAAGCACCATTTCTGATGCAATCAAGTGCGCTCTATCCAATGGGATCCAAGAAAGAACATTTTAACAAAAAGTATCGATAGAAAATCGAGTTTTGGACAACAGGTCCAAATTCGCCATCCCCCGTCTTTGTGCGTGAACTTAGTCGACAGGAAAAAGCATTTATTCGAAATTAAGGTAGACTTGTATAGTACAACTCGAGAGCTTTCGAATAAAAATAAAATTGCTAAAAAAACCTAATTTTTGGCTGAGTTATATGAATTTTTCAGGAACATGAAAAAGTACAGAACAAAAGGCTGACTCATTTTTTCCATATCTTCACATGAGGAGCTGAAAATCGAAAAAAACTGAATTTTGTACTTGAAAGTTGCTGTTGCTGATGTTATCAATGTTTCGATAATAACCTTTTTACTTTTATTCCTATAATACAAATCTGTCTACAGTTTTGTAAAGAATTAAAAGATGAATCTTTTTAAAAAAAATTTAGCCCGAACAGATGTAAGCTAAAAAGGTTATTGACAAAATACTGACAGGCTCATTTATTCTGACTTAGAGATATGCACGGGTACCGTTTTCGTACCCGTACCCGATCCGAGAACTTTGTATTCGTACCCGACCCGTACCCGACTTATGCCAAAAAATTTTCTCCTTTTTGTTTTCCAGCTAAAAACTTTTGTTTTTCGGCTGAAGATGACATTACGTTCTCAAGTAACTGCTTTTTAAAACTTCATGTATTTAAGCTAAAATCTTGTATTCCACTAAATTTTTGTGATTTTTTACTAAAACCTTTCGGTTTCGGGTAAATAAAAAAAATGGAAACCGTACCCGTACCGATCCATATCCGTAGCCAACCTTCGGGTCGGATCAAGTACGGGTCGGGTTGCATATCTCTAGTCTGGCTCACCCGTTAGCTAACGAGTTACTAAAGATGATTTAACGAGATATAACACGAAGAAAAATTATCCCGTTACCACGTAGTATTATATGCACTAACCTGTTACAAAGACGTAAAAATTTTGTTCTATTACTGTGCGTAGAACTTTTATCGATAAATTACACTTATTGCTAAAAAACGAGTTTATTGAGCATTTTCTTATAAGACAAATCTCAGGGATAAAACATTGAATAGTCACGTACTACTAGATCATTCGATAGAAGAGAAAATATCACAGATCGATGCTAATTACTAGCATATTCAACAACTAACAAAAAAGTAATTGAAATGTTATTAAGACAGAATGCACGAAGCTATGAGCACATTCTCATCACGTAGTAACTTAGTGTGATAACACATAATAATTGTTTGAAAGAGAAGAGTTCTTTGAGGCGTAACACTATTCATAAATTCTAAGAGGATCGAGCATAGGGAAGAAAGTCTACAACATGTGAAAATAACAGATCTTTTTCCAACTATACTCACTCGATTTTCCATTCGAAGTTACCTATAAATTCAAGTCTAAAAGCAATGAAGAAAGTCAATGTGTGATCAATCAAAAAACGAGACAGAACAAGCTGCAGTATGACGAAACGCGACGCCTCAACGTGAACCGTGTTAAATCTGTCTCTCTTTCTCTGTGTCTTTTCCTTTTGTAGATATGCGATTACAGTGCAGTGATACTGTCCAACAATTAAATGCTAGTAGTACTGATGAACAAAACAGGATATTTTGATTCTTTTATTATTAGTTGTTCTGATATATTTTTGAATCTAAGGACAAAGGTCGAAGAGTTCTAAGGGATTTAAACAGAGTTCAGCTCTGGGTATTCTCTACTCTTGACGAACTTGTTTGAAGTTTTAATATGTCAATTCTAGCTATAAGTCTGAAACAAAATTTTTATTTTATATTTTTTAGTGATTTATATAATGTCTTGTGTATTTACTGTATGTAAAAAGTTTCTTTCTTGCGTATAACAGTGTTCATTCCGTGAGTATCATAGATTACTAAAGGATCATATAAACAATATTTCTTAGCTGCTTACAAAGACAATACATTATAAAATGAAGAGAATAAAAATATAATAAACGAAGTTTTTCTTTCCACCTTCCTCCTCTCCCCTAGAATTTTTCGAGAATAAATTATTCTTTCTTTTATATCTATGTTGTGTTTTTATCAGCTTTGTACCCCATGTTTTAAAGCGCTGATTATTTATGCTAGTTGAATTGATTAATAAACAAAAATACATGTGTGGAAAGCGGCGTTTCTCTAAGCTCGCCAAACTTGTATTTACACTTGACAACAAAGGTCAAGTGTATACCATTAATGACTATTTAACGAGGACATAAACAGTTTAAAGAACATTTAATTTGATTAGAGGAAAATTCAGGATAATAGTTCGTTTTATTATTAGCACTTTAATTATTGATACATATTTTAGAAATAAACTGAATCTTATCTACCACATAACTTATTTGTTACATCAATTCACAAGTATAATAGTTAAATTCATCAAACATAGTACAATCTATGAGAAGAATATTCAACATCGATTTCTAATATAAATCTTTATAAACCATTTTTTATACTCATATTAGAATTAAACTTGACTGATGAGTAATGCTTCTGAGTGCATAAAATTACGTGTGGAAAACAAATCGGGATGATGATGATTGTGATTATTAGCGCGTAGAAGTTTTGCTGTTGTATAGTTTTGTTTTAATTGTCTCGGTGTATTAGCTGAATAACTTCGAGAAAATTTCTGTTGCTCATGATCATTAGTTCCATTTGCGAATTTATAAATACTTCCCAATGTTTTACGTATGGCATTTCGATATTGTATTTCATTATCTATCGGTTGTTCGTATGAAACTACTACTTTATTATTATTGTTGTTTGAAAGATTATCATATTGTAAATCGCTATTATTCAATGGTAAACTCCAATTTTTTGGTTTTGAATGTTGTTGTAAACGTTTACTGTAACTATCATCGGCTGTTTCTTGATAACGATTCCACAATGAATCTGTTGGATTATTTCGATAATAAATTTCCGATTGAAATATTCGAATTTTTTCATAGGGTTCAGTATGATAAACATCCGATAATGGTCGATTAATTAGCGCTCTATTGTCATTGTCAGACGTGGTTGTTGTACTTAATTCAGGCATAGATGCCATTTTCGTTGGTGTACTCTTAAGTATCAAATTTTTTGATAGTATAGGTGATGTTACTTTTGTTTTTTCTCGATCATAATGATTATTATCATTGCCGTTATCAAAAAAATGCCAATCGGTCTTTGTTGTTAAGAATATCCACAAACCTATAGTGAGTAAAACATGAACAATTTCGTTAATGAATGTTATTATTAATAAACGATTACGTTGTTGTATATATAAAATGAGTATGTCGTGCATGAGTGGAATTTTACAAGCAGTGAATAGAAGAATGATAACAATTGCAATTAAACTTGGACAATAATATGAACATTTATCCCAACATGATCGATGTCGTCGACGTATTTTTTTTGATGGAAAATAATTTCTTGTTACAAATTGTTTAAAACGACTATAGCCATAGAAGTAAATTGTAACAGATGAGATGAAGACGAGAAATTCAAGTAAAAGATATAAAAATATAGCCATATACGGTTGATTTAAAAGTAAAAATGTATAGGATGATGTGGATGAGACAATGTTAAACTGATTGTAACATACTAATCTTATTATTAGTTGAAAACTACCGTACATTAATAACCATTGTAATGCATTGAGAAACAATGAAATTGAAAATAGTATCGAAAATGATTTTGAAATAGACCAGAAGACAGTCGGATACGAAATACAATATAAAACTGTCGCAAATATAAAATGAAATAATCCAAGACGAGAATATTCATTAAATTTACCAGTATGATAATGATGTCGATCATTAATATTTGGATATTGAATTGATAAAAAATCTGAATTATTTTGAAAACGTTTTGTAGTTTTGATGGCAGGAAGACTGTTATCCAAATTAAAAAAATAGTCAAAATCTGTAAGCCATGCATTACCTACAAGTAAAAATTAATATACTTAATAATAATTTGAAATAAGCTTTAAAAACTTTGACTTAGTTCATTGAATAGAGACTATATGTTATGTGTTGTTTACCTGGTTCTCTAAAACCGATGAGAATTTGTTTTGCTTCAATAGGTATTGATGAAAATAATATACTCCAACTCATCAATAGATGTAAAGTACCACTAATTGAAAAACAATGTTTCCATAGTATAAAGGCTAAAGATATACTACTATTATCTGTTAGTAATTTGGTTTTTGACGATATTGTTTTTATTAGACCATTTATTGTTAATTTCACACCATCATTCGCGTTATTATTTACTGCAAACAATCCCGGATAGACAAATGCGATAAGAACAAGTGTTGATATCAATAAAAATAATTTTTGTAAAAATAATTCTATTTTCGGTATAATATAAGGTGGGTTTGTTTGCCATTGAACTCGTTCGTAATACAATGTTTTTTCTGTATTCGCATAGATTAATAGAATATGGATGATGGTGGTAATGATGGCATACCATAGACGCCACAGATGAAGAAGATGAAACCACTTGTGTTTAGGAGTCATCTGTTTACAACAAGTGATGGAATAATGCTGCAATCATTGCTGTATTACGATTTTCAGACACAAGCTGTATATACAATGTCTGATAACTGATAAGAACATAACGGGAAAGTCGTATCGACTTGATTGTATCTTCTCATCACATATTTTTCGAAGTATAACTAAATGAATATCTATATATATTTCTCTTTTTGTCTTCTGTATATATATGTATATTATATATGAAGCAAAGAAGTGTTCATTAAACAGAACTTCGTTGTTGTTGTTCTTTTTTCTTTTGTATTAGAGATATTACCGGTGCAATCAAACTTGACTTCTCTATCCGTCAAAGCTGAACGAAAAAACAGCATATTTTTCTTATATTATCCACCAGTCTAACGTTCTCTTCTTTTCTCCCTTTCTCTCATCATCGACCTATATCCATCCATATATATGAATGTAACAAATTAAAATCTCATTTTGTAGAAACAAATTATTCTCCATATATATACCGGTATGGGAAAAACATGGAATGAAAATAAATGAATACTGATGATAAATGTCGAACATTTATCCATTCAGAAAGTTTCACATGAGCATTATATGAGCATACAAATACGATGTGATCTTCCTCTAGTTAGTTCGTTGATCATATGGATAATAGGACTATAGATGTGAATAACAGACGTTAGACGGAGAACATCATCACTACGTTTATTCTAATTATCATTAACTTTGTTATGACTTCTTAATAATAATTCTTAAGGCTTTCCCCCCACCCTACTCAAAAAAAGTCGATTTTGAGATTTATACATCGTTGGATAGCCCAAAGTGTTTCCTTTCAGAATCTATAGCACTTTCAGTCCTAGAGACGATTTTTCATGGTTTCAGAGAAAGTTTTCTGGGTACCACGAAAAACAAGATACTCGAATACTAGTATTTGCCTCGATATTTATGCAATTAAATTACTTTCTGAACATGTAGATTTATACAGCCAACTTTACTGGTCAAAGTGAGACATAGCACAACTCTCTGGAAACTTCCATACGCCTTCAAATGTACCAACAAATGCACGGCATTCTTCTCAAAATCGGTTTTTTCAAAAGAAGATCTCAGCACTTTTCAGATTTCTCTGCAATTTTAGGTGCTAAAGTTCTCGGCTTATTAGCCAAGAGTTGGAGCTACAATTTAACCGAGCCGGATTTTTTCATTTCTGATGTAGTTCATGAGAAAACTAAAGAGTTTTCGAGAACGTTATGAAAACTGAAAAAAAAATAGTTAGTTTTTCGGAAACGCTTTATTTTTCTCAGAAACTAAGTCGAAAGTCAAAAATCCGGCTCTGTTAAGTTGTAGATCCAACTCTTGACTACATTTCAAGACTAAGCCGAGAACTTTAGCACTTAAAGTGGCAGAGAAATCTGGGAAGTGCCGACATCTTCTTTTGACCATTGTTTTATGGATAACTCTGAGAAAACGCGAGCTGGAGATTTTACTAAAATCCAACCTTGATATGAGTAAAATTTTGTCGAAATCGGACGTTCCGTGCTGAAAATAGATTTCTGAGTCGGGAGAGCTTTAATAGACTGTCATACGAAGTTGATAGATGTCCGGTTTTGAAAGTGTTTGATATGATTTATTTTTGCCAAATTCATCATGGATGATTTGAGATCGAAACATAAAGACAAGAGACATATAGTATTTTCAATTTTTGTACAAAAATTAAAACTACATAGTCTTTGCGTTATGCTCTTAAGTTTTTCTAATTAATAATCACCATAGTACCTCGTATGTTAACATCAAACTTGTTTTGTCTGACACTAAAGTGTTAAAATGAACGAAGAAAGCCAATTTCGCGTGTGCTTCATATTATGCTGTACACACTTCTTGTGATTTAATCAAAAAGTAAATAGACTAGATATATATGTGAACAATATTCTCTTTCATACGGTGATTGTTTGAGAAAAATTATAAAGCTATTTTACGAAATTTGTCTTTGTGTTCTTGATGGAATTTTTCCTTTTGTAGACTCAGGAATGTTTTCAATTCAAGTAATTCATCTTGTTTAATGGCGGTACCTAAAACAATAAATGTACGTTATTCATCGCTAAATTAAACGAGGAGTTGTTCGCGATCTTGCAAGACGTTTTCAAAATTTTCGAAGGCTACACAACAGTTGCAATTAGTCAAACAACTTCATTAGCTGAAAAAGCACTTGCCATTTTTCATACAATAAATTTTAGTTGGCTTCGGACATCGGTTTAGCATACCATTCTTAGGAAAACCTATCATTAAATTGTAAAGCATATTACAACAGATTAGGACTGCTTTGAACAGAAGCACATACCGGATGGTAATTTAGGTTTTAAATAGCAAAATTGTTCAAAAATTTGCAATTGTATTTCTTCTTCTAAGTGTAGTGCATCATGTTTGTTACCAATGAAAAGGTTATTATTGGATCTCACTTTCGGAAACAGTATGTACCATTTTTTACCATGAAGTTCGTGGATTAAATCTAGATAATTGTGTCTAATATTATTTAATAGCTGTAATGAGAGAAGTGCAGACAAACTAACCATTATTTATTGTAATTTTGACTATGTTCGATACATTATCCGTACTTTTGATTATACAATAATTAGAGAATTCTAGCGTAAATGGCCTTATTCTGAAGCTCGTTCCTGTTTCGTTGCTGATAGATATGGTCCAATTAAAACTACCAAACAAAATAATAGGAGCTTTTTTAACACGAACTTCCAACTTACTATCTACAGCCATTAACGAAGGTAACATATAGAACCATACTGTAAATAGTATGTACATTTCTCTCTAAATACAATACTATCATGTGAGAATGAATAAACAAGTATAGAATGTCTAAAACTTATAAACAACAATGGCTGTAAAACATATTGGATAATTTAAAAATCTCTCTTAGTGCAACCCATGACGAAAGGGATATATTTGTTAGAGTAGTAAAAGAAGTGATTGCAACAGAATAAGCCCGAAGAAAGAAGTTAAAATGACGCATTCTACACTTTGTAATTTTATTTAAAGATCACACGCTGCGTTTATGAGACCCACCATAATTTGATATAGCCGAATGAAATGTAAATTAGTATTCGAGCAATTCTCTAGAGTTACGCCTTCAAGTTTTGATTGCTTAATTCTCGAGTGCATATTGTTCTTATCCAAGCACGAGAGAAGCTGTGAAGCGGGCGCTTGTATCTAAATTAGCGCGGTGTTTATCTAGCTTGGATCTAGCTGCGCCTAAATAATTGTAAATTTTACAGTCTAGATGCACTCGCTCACTTATTTCTTCTTGGATCAGTAAAAAATCTTGCATCTTCATGCATCCTCAGTATAACATAATAAATTCAGCAGAAAATGTTAGATTTCTGATATAAGTTTTATACATTTTTCTAATAATCATGCTAAGAAAAAATAAATACATTGTTCAGTTCGATAAGTATTGCTGATTAACGATAGCACTGCATACTTCTCTCCGCTTCCTCTGTTCCTCTGTTGTTTTACATCTGCTATGTAACATACTTATTACGAAAAATATTTCTATTCCATATGTAATATCAACAGAATACATGCTGTGCTGTTCACAGATGACGATACAAAAGCGTGGTAACAAGAAAAAGTATTTAGATGCGGAATATCAATATCAACTCTTAATATTACTTGCAGCTCGGATGATTAGTTCTATTAATACGTTATGATTTTTGCATCGAATGTTAACTATTGAATTGAAAAATGAAAAAGCGTTCCATTGATCGTTACATATAGAATATTTTGCTCGAATTATTTCACACACCACCAAAAGGTGTTTGATCATATATTTTTTGAAAACTGTTTTTATTGACCTCTTTTTAACAATCTAGAATATGGCCAACAGGCACATTTACTGTCTAGGGTCACTCTTCACTAGTTGCATTATATACTCACCATGCTAATCGATCAAGTCATCTATTTTTTCTCTAGTAATTTCTTATTAAATAATTGTATAGATGGATACAAGAGCACAAAACAGTATCAGCCATCTCTATATGATGATTCATTCAAGTGACTATAACCTTGATGTGT